AGAGAACATCATCATCACATTCAATCTGGGAAAATCAACATGAACCTTTTTCAACGAGAAAACTCTAAAAGTATGTTGCAGCGAGCAAATCATACAAAAAATTAAAGTCAGCATGAGGATATTTTGAGAAGCATAAGTACTTGCCATGGAAAAATCAATTGCAGGAAATAGAGGCTTGTATTCGCTAATGCTTCTCCTCTTATCACACCAATGAACTCCCTGCATTTGGCAACACATAAGAACAAATGAACTTCTAGTATGAGCATTGAAAAAGTGAGTTTCTGCAGTTCCTTTATAATAACCTCCCCTTGTCCCAGTATCACCGAGTCTTACCTTGTTGGTCCACCCCAAAAGAGTTGACCTCTTCCTTAAAATGGAAATATTTTCCCCTTTCAACAATTCACAATTATATATATATATTATTACTTTTAGATCATTCTAAACTTTATTTGACATTTTACCAACAAACCATTACACTACAATTACTTTTCAAACCATTATTTAAAAGACCTCCACCTAATAATATTACATTCTATCCACACTAAATGAAATAGAGGTAGTAAGACTAAGTGGAGCATAAGAGAAATACGCCACCTAGTTGTTCAACTTAATCAGAAGCCCACATAAAGGGATTTATGCAGGTTATAACCAAAGTTCTACGAGTATATACCAGAAAAAAAAAGGATCACAAATGTTCATGTGAGTGAAGGAAAAGAAGAGGATAAGTTGTCAATCAATGAAACCAAGTCTATCAAGCTCTTTACAAGCACTTATACCCAAATAAGGCAGCACCAAAACAATTCATTGCCATAGTCTTTTGTCATATTAACCACTCCGCATATTATATGCTCAATATGCCATGTAGTTTTAGTGTCAATATTAGTTTTTAGTAACAATTAGCAATACATAACAGAGGACTCTCACGTCAAGTGATAGCTTAAATGCTTCAAATTTGTTTTATTAGTTTCACATAACTGATATGCATTATTACAGATGAACTAACAATATGACAGAACATAACTTTTTTGCCAAAATCCACTGCACGAGCACAATTTTTATCAACACTTGGTGAATCTTGTTTATAAGAAAGTGTTTTCTAAACAATTTGGTACTTCTAGTCTCTAGACATATCAGATTATTGCCAAGACCAAAGAACAGCATGAAAACAGTCATTCCTCATCCCAAACTCCTCTACGGCACAAAAAACTGACTTGTTAAAGAAAGAAAATAGAAGCAAAGGAGTTATGCTTTTCCTTCCAACAAATGGTACTCTAGTTTGCAATCTCTAAGCACCAAAAGAAATATTTCCAGATCTTGCAAGAAAAAAGAAAGAATTCTATCCATGATCAGAAACATTGTATGCAAAAAGAGAGAGAGAGAGAGAGAGAGAGAGAGAGAGAGAGAAAGAGAGAGAGAGAGCGTGTGTGAGGGACCAAAAATATCTTCACAAGAAGGAGAAAAGAACACCAACTTAAATCAACATCAGAGGAGGAAATAATCGTGTAAGGGAGGTAACTTTTAGGAGGAAAACACTCGTGAAATAATAAAATTCAGTCAACTGCATGAAACAATAGATAGAGAAACAAATATAACGACACGAGAAAAGGATAAAGAAGACTACACATTAAAGTCACGTAACTTTTAGGATGACATTACCAAGTGTTCACGACAACCCTCCACCGCAATGAAGGGAGGGCAATATAGACTTGAAATTGCTGGATGGTTACTGTTTCCTGCATCTGCCACCATGAGCAGGGGAACGTCTATTCCATCTGGGCAACCTTCTCCACCAAATACTCCAACTGCAGTTTGCATAGTCCTACAATGCAAGACCACCAAAGTTGAAGGTTAAAACAAAACAACCTGCTACCGTCTTCACTCAAAAATTTAAGGGAAACTGATCTCATAGAATAGTGCTGGAATGCGCATGCATAAAAGAATTGTACTTCTTGTGTAAGCCAGAAAATTCTGGTTTCACGAGGCTCAAGACATATGCCATCCATTATGTTAAGTATAACAAAAGAATGATTATTTAAGAAATCCAATGCTGCTTTAAACATCCATCATAGCGCCACCTCAAAAGCATAATATTGTGCACAACAACAACAACGACCCAGTGAAATCCCACAAGTGGGGTCTGGGGAGGGTAGTATGTACGCAGACCTTACCCCTACTCCAGGGGAGTAGAGAGGCTATTTCCGATAGACCCTCGGCACAATAAGATGAAAACGTGACAGTGTAGCAATAACAGCAAAGGAATCCAGAAAGATAACAACAGCAACGTAATAACCAGAAAAAAGCATAATATTGTGCACATGTTCCAAAAAAAAAAGAGATGAAACTTTCATATCAAATGAGAAGAAAAATAAAGATGTCACAGCTTATCGACACTAAGATATAAAACACAGTGTGTACCTCAATAAAGGAGAAGTGATAACTAGTTCCACCTTCTTAGAAAGTCCAGATGCGTGGACATGTTTCCGAAGATTATCTACCTGAAACAATACCAAATGAGATTTTCTAAACCACAAACCTAAGTTCCATAATGGCAGAAAACAAGTTCAAGTGACAGTTATTATCCTTATCATGAAGATGATCAATTCGGTTGTTGTGGTCGGACTCTATTATGGATAACTCTTCTAAGCTAAAGATTCAAAAACAAGGAAAAGGACAGTGGGAAAGACTTCAACACTCTTGACGTCCACCATGTCATTGGAGAGAAAGACGATCATCACCTAAAAAAAACCTACTACTAGATAGGTATGCACTGCGGCCATGTCTAAGCAAATAGGTGACAGAAATGCAGCCATGTTTAACTATTTATCACCTGCTCCCAGCCAAGAGGAGTAAGGTGTGCATCAAAAAGGTGCGGAGATAGGTATGCACTGTGGTTCATTTCTCCTTCCACATTGTGAATCCCCTGAGCATGCCTCACCTACATGTTAAAGTCAATATAGTCCAAACACTTATCAGAAAGCAAGTAAAAAAATAAGAATCTTAACTAGGAAGGATCAGAATTATTCTTTGAGTATCTTTATGGAAAATTTGCACAATTAGATAAGAGAGGCTAGACCGATGACAAACCAGGTGTATAGTTTTGCAGCGGTGTAAAGGATACAGGCTTTGACCTCCAGAGACATCCATATCTGCATTTGCAACCATGATGGACTCTTACTATTATTGGAAAAGCATACACTGAGACAGAGTGATTTAAAAAAAACTACCAAGAGAACATCATCTACATGTTCAGATTAATAAATATGAATGACTTAATATCCCAAGAGAAGAGCACAGAAAAGTGTGATATTCCTCCGTGAATTAACATCTATGTCATACAAAAGGCAGAGAGAAAAGAAGACAAAAGGAGGGATCAACGCTTCCCCAGGAAAACGACAAGATTTCAGAGTGATATATGTGAAAGTAAGAATTAGAAAAGCATGATAGGCATTCTATTAATTCAAAGCAAAAGAACATATCATAAGGAACCGAAAGGAAACTATACAAATTTTAAACATGATACTGAAATAGTAACCATCAGTCCTGCTAGTAAAAGGGTAGTGGGAGTTATTAAGGGTAGCAACTTAATACTTTTTTCTACACTCTTTTGCCAATATGAAACATCGGCAAACATACAGAACACCATTCATACATTTATTTTCTTGAGTTGAGATAAGATGGTCAGGCCTGGTTCCTGGAACCAACCATAAACAACTTAAGCCATGAAATTGATTTGCAACATATGAATATAAGACATTCATGCAAAGTAGCTGCTATAATTTCTAATGTTTACTTGTCCGCGTAGTTAAGACATATGAGCCATTAAGAGGCTTTTTGTTCTAAATATATTCATATATTTATGAATGACAACGGGAAGTACCAAACCATTTGGGAACGGGATCTTTTTCATCTACCAAAATCATGATCAAGTAGCAGAATTTCCACCCTAAAAAATCAAATTCTAGTTTTTCTTTCCTCACCTAAAGGCCTAATAAGTTGCTTTTACACTGCACCAAATACTGAAACTGCATTTAATCTCTAAAAGATAAACAACAACAACCCTATACTGGGAAGGTAGACAGATTGTTTCCGATAGATCGCAAGAAAAAGGCCGTGGCAACAAGCAGTAACACTAAAAGATAAAGAAGCTACTAAATGGAGCACGTTAAGTAACGATGATCAAGATTGACGCAGACCAGAAACAAGGTCATCAATTCAATCATATTCAACCAGTAGGATAGTCAAAGGTAAAAGACATGTAGAATCAAATTAGCTTTACTGTTAAGAAGCCAAAAGTCCAGAAAGCTAGGATTTCAAAAATTAATTATAAGAAAACATTCATACCAAACTGGTACAAATTGGATTTGCTTTGCTCTCTTTTTTTCCTATACTAATTACTACCTTTTGACAATAACTGGTCCATGTATCGCACTCGATGTACATAAGATGACCAGAAAAAAAAAAACCTAACTTAGGATAATACTTTTAGGCTTTAATAGTAGTAAACAAAATATAAATCTGAGTTATAAGAAGAGTTCGTGACCAGAAATACTGCAGTTCTCAGATTCGATCTCGAGAAGGTTCTAAGAAAAACATCAACGTCTCATTTCCATGGACGGCTCTAGGTAAGGCAAGCTCTCTTGGCTTGGGCCCAAATATTTAAGGCCCCAAAAATAAGATGCAGTGCTATATTATTATATAATATATACTCCATAATTTATATTTATATAATTATTAATAAAATATTTCAAACTTTAATAATTTGTAACATTTGGTAGACTTAAGATTGGGTGAGTTAACTAGATAGACACTAAATTAAATAATATATTTACCTTCTCATCAATTTTATTTTATTTTTTTTTTATGTATAGTCTTTTTTCATGATTCTATTTTACTTTCTAATTTCAACTCAAATTCTTCAAATTAACTATTCTTTTTTGTCACATTTGATTGATCCACACACCAGGAACCAAGTTCTTTTATGTCTCATCTTTTTTAACTAAGAAATCCCCGAGACAAATGTCGCAAGGTTCAAAACACGATGGATAATGGGCGCACCCTTTACCATTTTCACTTAAGGAAAAAATTCAATACCATATGAATGACATGCGCCTAACTCATACATCATGAGTTACGCTCTCACCACTAGATCAAAGTCATGCAGTTTTTTTTTGTGTCTCAATATTTTATGGATTTTATAAAAGAAGTTTCAGGGCCTTTTTAATATAATTTGATTTTAGGCCACCAGTTCTTTTGAGCCGCCTCTCATTAACGATCAACAATTATTTGCAGACTACTGCCCCACCATGAACGTACTGTTCAACCAGCTTCTTCACATTTGGTAACTGACTCACTGCCATTACTGTTTTTGTTATTATTGCCTTATCTAAAGTGAGACTCTATAAATTTGATTGAGAATGCCAGGGGTGGACAAGTAGCTCTAGTAGGAGACTAGTAAAGTCTTGATTTAGGTTCCACAAAATTTTTAATAATGGATTTTATAATTTTATTTCAAATTAGACAAATTAATATTTGTAGAAAAAATAAAAAAAGTACAAAAGAATTTGTAAAAAAGAAAGAAAGGTGTCTACTCTTTAACAATAAAAATATTTTTAAAACTATGAATTAAACTACTTAAATCTTCATATTAATAAATACATTTTTTACAACAATATCAAATATAACATATTGCAAATACATGTCTAACGTCTCATTTATTTAAATTATTTGTAATGACCCAACCGGTCATTTTAATTTTTAGAACCCCATTCCCCTAAATAAAACTTCTCGTGTGTGCTTTTATAAAATTATGACTTGCGGGGATGGTTGGTTCGGAATTTGGAAGTGTTCGGGTTGAAATCGGAACACTTGATTCCTTAAGTTGGCCTTAAATTGCTAAGTTTGACTTCGGTCAATATTTTGAGAAAATAACCCCGAATAGAATTTTGATAATTCCAACAGCTCCGTATGGTAATTTTGGACTTAGGAGCGTGTCCGAAATTTTATTTAGAAGTCCGTAGTTAAATTAGGTTTGAAATGGCTAAAATAGAAATTTAAGTTTGAAAGTTTGATCGGGGAGTTGACTTTTGATAACGGGGTCCAAATCCAGTTCTGAAACTTTTCATAGCTCTATTATGTGATTTGTGAATTGCATGCAAAAATTGAGGTCAATCAGACTTGATTTGATATGTTCCGGCATCGTTTGTAGAAATTAAATGTTTCAAAATTCATAAGGCTTGAATCTATGAGTGATTCGTGTTTTTAGTGTTGTTGGATATGATTTGAGAACTCGACTAAGTTCGTATGATGTATTAGGACTTGTTGGTATATTTGGTTGAGGTCCCGAGGGGCTCGGGTGAGTTTTGAATGCTTAACGGATCATTTTTGGACTTGGCTTGATAGCTGAAGTTCTGGTTTCTGCAGGTTCTGGTTTCCTTCTACGCGATCGCGTGAGAAGGTATGCGATCGCGTAGGGTTAATTGGGCAGCTGAAATTTTGTGATATGCGATTGCGTGGGAGAGTATGCGATCGCGTAGGTTTGGCAAGCTGTGCTACGCGAACGCGTGGCTAAGATCGCGTTCGCGAAGAGGAAATGAGACAGAAGCTGGGCCACGCGCTTAATGCTTCGCGATCGCGTGAGAAGGTTCGCGATCGCGTAGGCTTGCGGAGACTGTGCTTCGCGATCGCGTGGAATTTTCCGCGATCGCGTAGAGTTATTTTTGGACAATAAAAACTTATGCTTCGCGATCGCGTAGAAGAAATCACTGGGCAGAATGTTTAAGTTCTGAAAATGGGACTTCGTCCCATTTTCCATTTTTAACGATTTGGAGTTCGGATTGAGGCAATTTTTGGGAGATTTTTAGAGAAAATATCGGGGTAAGTGTTCTTAACTCAATCTTGGTTAGATTACCCGAATCTATCACTGTTTTTAACAATTAATTGGTGATTTAAGTTGAAAAATTTTGAAAACCCTCTTGGATAAATTTGAGGATTTGAGGGTCAAATTGTTTTCAGAATTTAGTCATTTTGGTATGGTTAGACTCGTGGTTAAATGGGCGTTCATATTTCGTAACTTTTACCGGATTCCGAGACGTGGGCCCCACGGGCAATTTTTGAGTTAATTTCGGTTTTTTATTGAAAAATATAGTATTTTCTTATTGAATTAATTCTATATTTTTTGTTGACGGTGTCGAATTAATTATGACTATATTCGAGTCGATCGGAGTCAGAAAATCGAGGAAAAGGCATACTACTTGATTAAATTGGAGCAAGTCGAGGTAAGTGACTTGTCTAACCTTGTGTGGGGGAAATATCCCCTAGGATTGGTATTGAAGTGATAAATTAAAATGTGTTGAAAGTCGTGTACACGAGGTGACGAGTGTGTACACGGGCTAAATGTGAAAGATTATGTCTTTAAATTGTGTAGATCACAGTTGCATATTAATTAAATAATTTTACCTTGTTATATTCTTCATCTTTGATTTAAATGTTTATACTTAAAATTTGCTTGACCTTTTTCTCGTAATTATTTTACCTGTTTAGTTGAAACTTAGTTTCTTTTATTCTGTGCATTATTTGAAGAGTAATTTTCTTTAAATTAAATATTTTTAATATTAATTATTTGACATTTTTAAATTTTGTATTAAAGCAACGTATTAAAATTTTGAAATATTATTTTGTTAAGTTATTTATTCTCGAATATTTTGTGAGATTTTCATGCTCATTGTGATGGAGCGAACTCTTTATTGTGGAAAAATATTATTGTTGGATTATTTTGGCATGAGCCGTGAGCTCTTTATTATGGAAAAATATTGTTGTTGATTTATTTTGGCAAATTGAAATAGTGGGCACTTGAGGTGCAAATTGTGATATATTGTGATATCGATACGCATGTTGTGGTAAGATCTGGGTATTGAAACGCATGCGGTGAGATAAGGGTGGCTTGATACGCGTGGCTAGTAGGAGAGACTACTAGAAGTCATGCGGTGTGATAAGGGTGGCTAAAACGCGGGATGCTATTTCAGAAAAAATATTTTATTTAAAATAAATTGTGAAGGCACCCGCGGTGGTATAAGAAAATGAGATATTGTGAATTTATTTATGATTTGGGATTACGAGGCGGTAGGTCGGGAGTGCCCTTGTTGATATTGATTGATGGCTGCAGTTGTCTTTGATTATTGTTGTGATTTTTCTTAAAGTTGAAAAATAATTTGTTTTGTTTCCGCAAAGTATTAATTGCCATTGTTTGGTGTAATTAAATGGTGACATACTACTTGACTCATTTCCATTGTCATTTTATCTTATTATATTGTTAAACATTTTACCATGCCATTATTTATTTTTCCAGTAGGGTCTGACTTGACATCGTCACTACTCTACCGAGGTTAGGCTGGGCACTAATTGGGTACCGCTGTAGTGTACTCATACTACGCTTTTGCACATCTTTTTGTGCAGATCCAGGTACATATAACCAGCCCAGACATCAGTGAGTTATCGGTGTACGGAGACTTCGAGGTATATCTGCTAGCGTCCGTAGACTCCGGAGTCCTCTTCTATCACTATCATGTTGCTTCCTTATTTTCTTTAGACCTTGATATATATAGAGACATTGAGGATAAATTCTTAGAAGCTTGTAATTTATTTCTACCGGGTTTTGGGAGTTGTAATTAAGTGAATTGCAGATTTATTTATTTTATATTTCTATTATTATTCCGCATTGACAGGCTTACCTAATCTTAGAGACTAGGTGTCATCACGACATCCTACGGAGGGAATTTGGGGTCGTGACAAGTTGGTATCAGAGCTCTAGGTTCATAGGTGTTATGAGTCACAAGCAGGTTTAGTAGAATCTTGCGGATGGGTACGGAGACGTCTGTACTTATCTTCAGGAGGCTATGGAACTGTTAGGAAAATATTCACTTCTTTGATTCCTTATCGTGCGCAATTATTGAATTCAAAGTTCTAAATCATTATCTTTCTATTCTCTCACACATGGTGAGGACACGCACAACTGGATCCGATAATCAGACACTCGCGCCTCCTGTTGGAGCCGCAAGAGGCCGAGGTCGGGGCAGAGGCCGAGGAAGACCACGCGGTGCAGCCAGAGCACCTGCACGAGCTGTTGCACCAGAGCCACCAGTAGCTCCAGTTGGAGAGCAAGCACCTGAGACGCCTGTTACTACTCATGCACTTCAGGAGACTCTTGCCCAGTTTTTGAGCATGTTTGGTACTCTAGCTCAGGCAAGGTTAATTCCACTTGCTCCTGCCACATCTCAGGCTGGGGGAGGAGCACAGACTCCTGCCGCCCGTACTCCAGAGCCACAGGCCCAAGTTGACCATGCCCCAGAGGTTATACCAGTGCAGCCAGTTGTCCCAGTTCGGCCTGAGACTAGGACAACAGTTTCAGAGGGGGAGCAGCTCAGGCTCGAGAGGTATAAGAAGTACCACGCTCTCACTTTCAGCGGTTTAGCTTCAGAGGATGCTCAGGGTTTTCTAGAGAAATGTCACTGTATCTTTCATACTATGGGTATTGTGGATTCCAGTGGGGTTTCT